ACAAGGAAGGATGGCTTCCTGGAGAACTTTCTAAGGGAAACTGGCTCATATACACATTACACATGAGGAAAAACACGAAAACGCCTATGCAACTACCCCAAATCATGTTTAGAATAAAAATTAATTTGTTATTTATTATCATTTGCGATTATTAGTGGTAAATATGTATTGAAATCCATTTAGAGCAAGATCTGCAAAGAAATGAATGCGGAAGAATCTAAATTCTCAGAAGAGATATGCAATTATCTGATTATAATCAGTAGAATTTGCTTTGAGTTAATCCATATTATGTAACGTTATCAAGTGGCTAAAAGTATAAAACACACTGGTAATTAATTCTCCTTTCCTTGATTTGTAGTAGTTGAATGAAATGATCATAAGATAATTTCATGACAAAGAAGCACTTAAAAGTCTATCATGCCTGAAATCTGCTTGAATGTTGAGTCATAAGGGTACAAGATCTCAAAATATATGTTAGAATGTGTCTGCGCGGTCAAAAAAGGGTTGGAGTAACTCCTATACATTTTGTGTTCATTAAATAATCTTGTACAAATGATTAGGTAAAGTTTTTTAAGTCTTTTGCCATTAGTTGATCCATTAGCATGCTAATATAGTCTAACTTCATGCTTATTTTTACCCTATGTATCAATGATTTCTTATTATATACAGATAATATTAAGTTTTGGTCATTATTCATACTGTCAATAAATCAATATGAAGAATACATTTGTGATTTAAATTGAAAACGATTAGTTCAGTGTTTACAGATTCATGTGATGTAATGAAAGTTTATAATAAAATTAAGAATATTCTATGGTTTATTTTCTTAACCCGCGAGCACACGCAATGGGTATGTCATACCCATGGGCATTTTTCTTTTTGTATATTTATCACTTATTCTTTCATAAAAGGACGAAACTTGGTGTAGCTGAGTTCAAGGCCACATACTTAAATGCGGGAAATTCCTAAGGTGACAGGTGCAACGGTTTTTTAGGAACAGCATTGTTTGGGCATCTCATACCCGCGCGTGTACTCATGTTTCTCAGTGAGTCACTTCGCACTTCTCGTTTTCAAGCTTTTTTTTTTTCAAGTATAGGTTTTTCTTGAGTTGTAAGCATGACGCCGTATATTCCTTACGATGAAGAGATGAAAAGATTGAGAAATATTCTTAAAACAGTTTCTTCTGATGAGGATTCATTTAGTGAAGACGATGAAGATGTTGATGATGACGAAGAATATAATAGTCATCATGATCATCCATAGAGAGTAGTGATTAGTCAGATTCAGATACAGAAACAGAAAAGGAAATTTTGCAATGTAGCAATGAGTTTTATGTTGGAAAAAATGGAGTAAAATGGAACAAAAATAAATTCCGGACTAATGTTAGAATTGGAGCCAAAAATATTATAACTAAACTCCCTAGAAATACGAAGTATTCTAAAGACGTCTCAACACCTTTAGATTCCTGGTCACTGCTTATCGATGAAGATATGTTAAAACATGTAGTCGACAATACAAATATTTATATTGATTGTACGTGGAAATTTCACTCATGAACGGGATGCGAAAGCAACAAATGAGTTGGAAATCAAAGCTTTAATTGGATTGCTGTATTTATGTGGAGTTTATAAATCATCCCATGTGAACGTAAGAGATTTGTGGGCAACAGGCAGAACGGGAATGGACATAGTTCGGGAATAAATGTCAATGAACCGATTCCTCTTTCTTTTACGATGCCTCCGTTTTGATGACATTAGAGATCGTCCCAGTAGAAGAGACGTTGATAAATTAGCTTCGATCAGAGAATTTTTTGGAAATTTTGTCACAAATTGCCAAAAGGCTTATACTTTAGGAGAGTATGTGATCATTGATGAGAAGTTGGAATCATTCAGAGGTCGTTGTTCCTTCAAACAAAATATGCCCAACAAGCCAGCAAAGTATGGCATAAAAATATTTGCTCTTGTAGACGCAAGGGTATTTTATACCTGGAGTATGGAAATTTATGCTGGTAAACAACCAGATGGGCCATTTCAAGTTGAATTTGGTGCAAGCGAAGTTGTCAAACGTTTAATAAGGCCCTTATACAACTCTGGTCGAAATTTAACAGTTGATAATTGGTATATGGGATTTGAATTATCTCAAGATCTCCTAAAGAAGAAAATTACGATAGTAGGTACAATGCGTAAAAATGAGAGAGAAATCCCACCTGAGTTTCTGGCAGAGAAAAGAGAAGTATATTCTTCAATTTTCGGTTTTCAGAAAGAAGCAACACTTGTATCTTATGTGCCGAAAAAAAATAAGAGTGTGATCCTGTTATCCACAATGCATTCCGGCGATCAAATCGATGAATCTACTGGGGAATCTAAAAAGCCTGAAATCATTACATTATATAACATGACAAAAGGAGCAGTCGATGTTGTAGATGAGATGGCAGCTGCGTATTCTACAGCAAGAGTAGCACGTCGATGGCCTATGGTGATTTTCTTTTCAGTGTTAAACGTGGCTGCCATTAATGCAAGAATAATTCTACTATCAAAGAAGGAACCACCAACGGAATACCATACCAGGCGTACTTTTCTCAAAGCCTTAGGGATGCAGTTAATAGAAAATGTTCAAAATGAACGACGACGAGCATCTGTAGTTCCTGATTCTAGACAAACACTGACCACCGATGAACATGTTAACAATGAACCACCCCCCAAAAAACCTAAAATTACAAGAGGTGTACAGAGTGCCCCAAGAAAAAAGATAGAAAGACTAGATACATTTGTGAAAATTGTAGCAAAAGTACGAGTATATGTATGGAACATATGACCTCATTTTGTAAACAATGTTCAAAATATTGTAAGTAAATAATTTTACCTCTCCTTATTCTTTCATATTTTGTCTAAAATGAAGTATTAACTTGGTTTTACATTTTAATTTCTTTTAAAAATCGATTAATTTTATTCGGCAAATTTTTAATTACAAACGTTTTATTCGGGTATGACATACCCGGCGCGTGTTCTAGTGTTCGTCGGATCGGTGCGTGTGCTCGCAGGTTAAATGAAACTTTGTTTTTCCTCTGGAAAAAAATCCAAATAGCTTTATGTAAGAATCATTAAAGAGATCTTCATCAATAACAATGTGTTAATTAATGAAAACTATATACTTGTGTCTATATCAATAATAATAAGGCCCTTATACAACTTTACAAACTCTTTCCTTTGAAATCTGTGTATAAGCCTTAGTAATCTCAAGGTGTGAGATTTATAATGTTGTAATATTCTGAAAAGTCGCTTGACTTTAATATGTATGCAAGTTTCATGAAAAATTAAAAGCTGTATAATTTGCATCCATACATAAAAGCAAGAGCTATGTATACATAAATTCTACAGTTTTACTGTGTGGAGCAAATCAACAAAAGCATTATCAAAGCATCACTATCAACAGTTTCATCACAAAACAACAACTACATTGCAGAGCATGTTTCCAAAGTATATCAATTTTTTAAAGTACTGATTCTACTGAAAATGTATTGTTTACAAGATAAATAAATAGCTCTTGCATGCTTCGCCACTTTATAAAATTTTTAAAGATTTTATTTTTATTTCTGTTATTGGTTGTCATATATCTGCATACTTTTGCAGCCCAATGATTTATTTACTGTATGAAATTTATTAATCAATTCTCTTGGAATAATTTAAGTTTTCACTATTCATAAATTGTTATTGTAATCACTAGCGATTCAAAAATGCTCGATAACAAAATACAGTAGCATTTTCAAAAACACTAAGATTTACACTTATATGAATTTAAGAATTTTAAAGCACTTATTATATTTTTGTGGCATTTTTAATCATTTATTTAAAGAAATACCAGCATGCACTCTGATTTGTCAGCAGATACTGAATTATGATTTTCCTTTGTAATAATCAAGTGCGATTGTTATTCCTATTATGTTCTCTATCTGTATATGATGTTACTATCTATATTTGACTGAATCTGTAACTGCATATTTCATGCTGAAACTTTTAGTTCTTTTGCACATATTGTTGTGATACGTCCTAATAAACACATTATATGTCGATGTTTTGTAAAATGATGTTGCTAACTGTACTGTATGTGTACCATCAACTGGAGAACTTTACACTAATAATTTAGTAGTGAAATACTGCGACAGAATATGAGATCAAAAACTGATTAATAAATTACTTGTGTAACTAGCAAGGATGAAGTAGTGACAAGATTAAGAGCATTTTAAATTTATATACTGTTTTTAATTCATCATATTTTAATTTATAAACTATTTAGAGATTATTTTATATACAATATATTTACATGATGAGATATCAATATATATGATCAAAAGAATCATGAATTATAAGAGTTTCATTATTTCCAATGGCATCTATAGCAGCTTTCTTGTATGAAGTTGTTGCAATATTTTCAGTACTGCATGGACTTTTTCTTTTCTTTCTCGTAAAAAAAGAAATTCTTTGTTTCTTTTCTCTGCTTTTTTATTTGTAGGTTCATAGTTCACCATTTTCAATTTCGGCTTTTCGTTCTTTAATTTTGTAATCACTTTATTCAGTGTGTTTTCAATATCTCCCAAAGTTATATTATTTACTGTTGTTGATGTTACAAGTTTTGATATGATACTCAGTTGATTTATAATATGGTGCTTGGTTCTTGGTTCCTGATTTTTTTAATTTTTGTGCTGATAGATCAAGAAAGGAGTTTTACATCATTTGATTCTTTAGTTTTAGCTGACTGTTCTCTATTAAGGTAATCTTGTCTTTAAAATTATTGCATGTATATGTTTACAGACACTTCCTTTAATCGTGGCATCTGTGCATGTGCATACAAATGCATCGTTACAAATTTTGCAAATTTTGCACCATTTACAAACAATGTTACAATTAATGCATTGTGTATGTATTTGAGTAACAGTATATTCAAGAGTAGGGTCACTTTCTGAAATCACATGCCAAGAAAACTCATTGATTTCTGTGATATTATTAGCTGGAAAATTTATTGCTCTTGCTTGTGTGTCGTAAATTTGTTTGGTTGATCTTTGATGTGTTTGGCCCTTTTGTTGTTTTGATAAATCTCTGGAACCATTTATCTTGCACCATATTAATAAGCTTCGCAATGCACCTATCAACCCTCTTGTTTTTCAATCCATCAAGATAAGAATATTTTAAAACTCGATGCAGTGCTTCAAGATGATTGTTAGTTGTGATGTTACATCTTTTTCTATAACATTTAGCCCACAACTCGCATCTGTTTGCATAATTTGAAGCAAAATAATTAGCAAACTTGTCTGTATCTCTATCAGCAAAGAGTTTGCTGAGGAAATCAGATATCAGTGCTTCAAATTCTTTTATATCATGACATTCAGATACTACATTTAAAAATTTCAAAACTTCCTTTCGCTTTGAGGGGATAATTGAATTTGCTGCTTGCAGCCATGCCTTTTTAACGTGCCAGGTGCATAGAATCCTAAATTTGGCATCACACATTACTGATGTCCATGCAGTATAATATACTGGTGCATCATCACTCATAAAGCAGTTTACAGACAGCAGTCCAACTTTGTCCCTAATACACTGAAAAAATTTTTGCATTGAACCTAAATTTACTCTATTGCTTAGGCAAAAAGCAGCAGGAAATCCTGAATTAAACTCGTCTATGACTAAAACTGTCGATAATTGAAAATCGTAAGCATTAGTCCCATGTGTGCTATCGATGCATATGCTATCGGATCCAAACTTTAAAAGCATATGCTTTTGAACATTTGTCATTATGATGATGCAGAAGTCACTAATTTCCAAGTGCTGATCTGCTGCTTCTCCTTGGAATTTTACAAAAAGAACTGAATTATCATCTAAACATTTCATTTTTTTCTATCCAGATCCTTAAACTGACAGCATCAGTTGGATGATATTGTTCATCATTACCAATACAGTAAGAATTAGAAATGTTATGTATGTCTTTTTTTGTCAATAAATGCTCCCTGTAAATGTCTTCTTTAATACTATTCCTTGTGGAATCTAATATTTTCTGTGGTGGAATGCCTTCATTTAACTTACCTGAAAATATTGCATTTATATGATAATGTTGTATAATAATGTCTGTTTTATATTGAATTTCACAATCAAGTTCATAAAGAAACTTACCTGCAATCACTTCTCGCAAATCTTTTGTTAACGGCAAATGTTCTAGATCTACTGTGTGTCCCACGTGTGTTTGGAAATATAAAATCTTAATAATGCCATTACTGGTAACTTCAATAGTAGATGGACAGTGCCCCTCTATTTTGCAGGTACCTTGTGATTTTATAGCTCTTACACCTTTACTTTTAGAATTATAAAATCCAGATCAATTACAAAGGAAGTAACTCTTTTTCCCACCTTCTTTAAGAGTTATTGTACTTCTCAAAAAGTAAGAAATTTTTTCCCTTCGTTCTTCCTCACTTTTCCATTGTAAGAAATCTAAATTTGAAGGGTAAACATTAGCCTACATACAATATAAAAGCCCATTATAATTGTGAACTAGTTAATCTTTAAAAACAAAATATACTAATTAAATAAAACTAACCAAAATCTTATTTTGGCACTGATTGTAAATAGATACTGGTCACTTTAGCAGAATTTTTTTTCTCTTCAAGAAGAGGGACCTGTGTCTAATTGCTCTCAAAACTGATAGTTTTATTTAAAATCTACACTGAAATAAAGTTGCCTAATTTTAAGTCAGGGGCGTAGCTAGAGGAGGGCATCTGTCCCC